GATTGTCATTATTGCTCGGGGAAAAATATCAGTCTTATGATCTCATTCCAATTAGCAATATAAGCAACAATCCCCCCTTTTACTGGCCAAAAAAGTATTTACTGGTCAGGTGACAAGCCTACAAAATTGACAGTGCTACCACCCTGTCGTCCTTTTTCAAATGAGGTTAAATGCCTTGTCAGTTCCGGGTCAAAGCCACCGCAAGCCATAGGAGCCGGCAACTCGAAAGGTTAACATCCAATCTTCGTTATTGAAAAGAATGTTGGGGTAAAAATCCGGGAACAAAACAGTTGATGCGTTTCAACCTATGCAGGCCTTAAGTTATGAGTAGTCCTGCATACGCTGAAACGAGTCAACTGTTTTGTTTGTGGATTTTTACCACAACGTCATTTTCAATAATGAAGGTTGAATTTTAAAGTGTTACTAAACCCAGGACCCTGCATCCACTATATCTGGTCTCCCCGGACCCTGCATTCACTATATCTGGTCTCCTCGAACCCTGCATACTATATCTGGTCTCCTCGAACCCTGCATTCACTATATCTGGTCTCCTCAAACCCTGCATTCACTATATCTGGTCTCCCACAGTACACACAACATGGAAATGCAATTATTTTAGTAAATATAAACTGCTAAATACCTTTTCTCATCAGCATTATAGAGAAGTCTTGTGACTTCTATCAGTGTTCAGTCAAGCACTAGCTAAAGCTTGTAGGAGGAGTTTTCTTTCTGCTCTAGGAGAATGCAGAACCCCTGACCTCGGTCTGACCAGTGCTGACTGGCCCTGTGCTGATCACATGCACTCTCCCAAGAAAATAAAAACCTCTCTAGCAATACACACCAAACTGAGCATGTGCAAAATGCCTACGGTTCAGTTTGTCTTATCAGGAGATAAGAGGTGGTTGCTTGAAATAGGGGAGAAACAGAGAAGACAGGATCAAACGGCCTTTTTACACAATGCAGAGGATTAACCCCTTAGGTTCCACAGTGAGTATAACAAGCATGCTTTACTGCATATACAGACTGATTTTACTGTTGTGGGTTTAGTAACACTTTAACCTTTCGAGTTGCCGGCTCATTTGACTGTTATAAGCCTACATAAAGGATACCATCACTCATATCAGTCATAATAAGGGCTAATTGTAAGTTTCATTATTTTTAGAGGTCTATGTATAAAACAGTAATTGTGCACATTTTCAGAATTATGTGTGGTTTCTATATCATCAGCTCATAAAGTGGCCACAATATGTTTTTGTTTCCTGATGGCATACCAATAAAAAACACGCTAAATTTTGGTGTAACAAGTTGTTAAGAATTCTTGGAAAACATTTAAAAAATAAATATGAATTTCTGTTTAATCCACTGCTATATAATAAAAACTGGTGTTCTCTTTTTCAGGCCCTGTACCCAATGATATTGTAAGTAACATTTTCACCTGTGAAATAGTGCGGTACATGTACATGCAAGTGGAAATATTGACCCCCTGAAGATGTTTCATTCTCAATGGTACCCCATTACAAATAAAGTTGCAAAAAAAGTACAGTCCCCCTCCTCTGTTATTTTTTTCCTTCCCATATTTTATCCTTGTTATCAAAGACTAATGTAGTCACCCATGCTGAACAAAGACTACTGAAGCCACCCATCCTTACAAAAAGAGTAGTGTAGCCACCCATGCTGAACAAAGACTAGTGTAGCTACCCAAGCTGAACAAAAACTACTGCAGCCACCCATGCAGAACAAAGGCTAATGTAGCCACCCATGCTGAACAAAGACTACTGTAGCCACCCATGCAGAACAAAGGCTAGTGTAGCCACCAATTCAGACCAAGGACTAGTGTAGCCACCCATTCAGAAAAAAAGACTAGTGTAGCCACCTATTCTGAACAAAGACTAGTGTAGCAACTCATGCTCAACAAAGGCTACTGTAGCCACCCATGCTGAACAAAGACTAGTTTAGCCACCCATAATGAACAAAGACTAGTGTTGCCACCCATGCAGAACAAAGACTAGTGTAGCCAACCATGATGAACAAAGACTAGTGTTGCCACCCATGCAGAACAAAGACTAGTGTAGCCACCCATTCTGAACATAGACTAGTGTAGCCACCCATGATGAACAAAGACTAGTGTAGCCACCCATTCTGAAGAAAGACTAATGTAGCCACCCATGCTGAACAAAGGCTAATGTAGCCACCCGTGCTGGACAAAGACTAGTGTTGCCACCCATGCTGAACAAAGACTAGTGTAGCCACCCATGCTCAACAAAGACTAGTGTTGCCACCCATGCTGAACATGCTGAACAAAGACTAGTGTTGCCACCCATGCTGAACAAAGACTACTGTAGCCACCCATGCTGAACAAAGACTAGTGTAGCCACCCATGCTGAACAAAGACTAGTGTAGCTACCCATGCTGAACAAAGGCTAGTGTAGCCAAGCATTGCACTGTTTTCTCTTTTTCTCTTTTTTTTTTTGGTTGGAACTTTTTTGAAATGTCACAAGTGAAGTGACATTTCAATAGGTTCTTATCACCCAGTGGTGTTGGAATATGGTAATTTCTGCCGCAGCCCACTGCACTGAGAAACGTACAGCATTCAGTACTTGCTTCTCCATGCGCACCACTGCAATGTTGTCCAGCTTATCCCAATGCAAATGGTGTGAATGGGCCCCATGAGTTGTCAGTCCACCCCTGATGAGGACTGCCATTGATGATCTCCTTCTGAAAATGCTAGTTGCCTGACTGTGTCTGACGTAAAGAGAAGCATCAGTCCCCTTGTGTGTGCATCCCCAACACTTACATCTGTCACTGCTGGTATCCACATAAAAATATCACATAGACAATCCAGGGTTGTCCAGCCAATTCTTTGCTGGAAGCCCACATCTTTTTTTGTGACATCAACAGGAGACTGCTGTCTCCCCTGGGTTCAGACAGCCAGCCCCATGATGATGCCTGCCAGCTCTGTCCTCCTCCAGTGCCATGTCCATCCTCCACTGGCCACTGTCAGGAACCTGAAGCCTCCCGAAATAGGTGATGTGGATATCCCAGGAGGCTTCAGGAGCGGAGGAGACGTCCTTCTCAACTAGGAAAGAAAATAGAAGAAAGATAGCTTAATAAATTTCAGAGGGGGGAAGGGATGCAACTTAAAGCAGTATCTGATTTAGAGAGGTACTTCACACTCCCCCCCATTTATTTTTTAATTCCTGCTTACCTGATGCTGGGTTGTTGTAGTCAATTTAGATACCCACCCAGCAGATCCAGTGTTGTCCTGTTGTGATCTGCTTCTCTTCTGCCACCGCTCCGGTCCCATGCCACCATGTTCTTATGTGATGTCATTGAGAAACTGCCTGCTTTTAAGTCACAGACCCAGAAAAAGCATTTTCTAAATGGGTTTGAGGAAAGTTTTAGACCTCTTTATCTATTTGTTTCCAGGTCCGTAATTCAGACAACACTGAAGCCATGTAACAACATGACATCTAGGGAACTAGCATGCCCAATGGAGAGCTCAGCAAAAAGTAGCTTTCAAGATCCTCTCATGACAGTACTCCTTTAAGGCAGAGAGCTTCTTCTGTATACTTTAGATAATCTTTAGTGCTCTGGGAATCTTTGATCATGTGTTCAGTGTTTACTTGCTGAACAAACATTGTGTACATTTTGTGAAGGCTAAACTCTAAAAATAATCAAAGTGATCCTACAGCTATTCGTTTCTCTTTAAATCAAGCAAGGTGAAACATAAATATACAGTATATAATGTCTTTTCTTTTGTTTCTTTAAGAGTATATCTCTATATTACATTCTGTTTTATTTCTGAATAATTATTTTGTTATTCTACAGAGTGAGGAGAGTGAAGGAGATGTCTATGATGAACTTGACGAGCCAAGGTATATTTTATTATAGTGGTGTTTGTCCCTATGTTGACAATAGCAAACAAGCAGGTTTTCTCTATTTTTTTTTAATATACTTTTATTCTAATTATTTTCTCTCCATTTCTAAATTGACACTGTTACAAGGAAAGCTGTCATTGTGCTGAGTGTCTGACTGTGTGAAAATCTCTAGTATAAAAAAGAGAAGAAAAACACCAACACATACTCCCCTGGGCGGCCCAGTGACATCACTGATCACTTTTCAACATTTTATCATTTCAGATAGAGTAAGGGAGGGTTATAACACTTGTCAGTTTTTTTGACATCTGTGTCCCATTGGAGAGATTTACCTCAACTTCCTGTCCCATAGCCAAAAGAGGAAGGGAGAGGAAATCCATGCAAATTTAGGGGAATTCCTTGAGGACCCTCAGGGCACCAAAACTAGTGCCCCATTGGAAAATTTCCCCTCTATTACATTTTTGGGGACAAGCCTAAATTTGGGGTTTTCTTTACATTCACTTTCGATGATAATGGTAAACAGGACATATAGAGAAGGTGAATCTCCCTAACGGGGGCACAGACTGCAGAAAAAAACCTAACAGGTGTTCTAACCCTCTTCACTCTTGCCAAAACTAAAACCTTTTGCCTTTAGTTATACTTTAGAGTGACACTAAGGAAGATCCTTATTCTACACATGCAGGTGACAATGGGTTAAAAACGGAGCTTACATGAAAAATCCTTCTTTTCGATTAAAATAATGCCTCATAGATCACAAGATCATATAGTACAACCGTTTCTGGAAAATGGGATAATTTCATTAATAAAATTGTTCACTTGGTTACTGATACTTTTCGGACCCTTACACTTTGTTGTTGGTTAATGATTCTGTCCAACACAGTGATGTGCCAATCGTAAAGCCCAAGAGGCAAGTAAGAGCCAATGACTGCAGGGTAATGCCTGATTTCTGGAATGCAGGAGATGGTGAAAATGTAGATTGCAAGTAATCACCCTGGTAGTAACATTTAATCATTTTAGAATGAATAACTGGACAAAAGTGTTTTTTTTCTTAATTTTATTTTATAAATGTGTATATTTTGTGTACCAGTTAGATAACATTCACATTTTCATCACTGTACTCACTGCAGGAAAGATCAAGAAAAAGATGAAAAGAAGAGGAAGAAAGAACTGGAGCAAGCCAAGAAAGAGCAGAAGGACAAAGAAAAGAAGGAACAAGAGATACGAAAGAAATTTAAGGTGAGTTTATAATCTGCTTTATGTGTACAATCCCATGATGACTGAGAAAACATGGAAAAGAGAAGGTGGTAACGTGGTAAATGGCTGCTGTAGTTTTCTATGGTGAGAAAATAGAATGGGGTTGTACCTATTGACGTGCTGTTGTCTTTTATGTAATTTCGCAATTGTTAAAGTAGAAAATGTTTTTTCCATGTTGGATAGAGCAGTGGTGGGCAACCTATTTTTTCAACTGAGCCAAATCTCGCCAAAACCACGATTGAAATTTATTTTGAGAGCCACATTTTTAAAACTGAAAATACATCCCCCATATAGTAATTCATCCCCCATAGTAATTCATCCCCCATAGTAATTCATCCCCCATATAGTAATTCATCCCCCATAGTAATTCATCCCCCATATAGTAATTCATCCCCATAGTAATTCATCCCCCATATAGTAATTCATCCCCCATAGTAATTCATCCCCCATAGTAATTCATCCCCCATATAGTAATTCATCCCCCATATAGTAATTCATCCCCCATAGTAATTAATCCCCCATATAGTAATTCATCCCCCATAGTAAATCATCCCCCATATAGTAATTCATCCCCCATATAGTAATTCATCCCCCATAGTAATTCATCCCCCCTATAGTAATTCATCCCCCCTATAGTAATTCACCCCCCTATAGTAATTCACCCCCCCTATAGTAATTCATCCCCCATAGTAATTCATCCCCCATAGTAATTCATCCCCCATATAGTAATTCATCCCCCATAGTAATTCATCCCCGATATAGTAATTCATCCCCCATATAGTAATTCATCCCCCATAGTAATTCATCCCCCATATAGTAATTCATCCCCCATAGTAATTCATCCCCCATATAGTAATTCATCCCCCATAGTAATTCATCCCCCATGTAATTCATCCCCCCTATAGTAATTCATCCCCCCTATAGTAATTCATCCCCCATATAGTAATTCATCCCCCCTATAGTAATTCATCCCCCCTATAGTAATTCATCCCCCCTATAGTAATTCATTCCCCATATTGTGTCAATTCACTTACCTTTGCTCCGCGCGTTCCTCTCGCTGTGTTCCCGCGCCGTTCTGGTCTTCAGGGCAGACTGTGAGAGGAGAGGAGTTCGTCACGCTGCCCCCGCCTACATCCTGGCTGCCCCGCCTACATCCTGACAGCTGCAGAGTCCTGACTTTTGGGGTGGCCGCCCGAGAGGAGGGAGGGGAGCGGGCGCCCGGCACACAGAAGAGCCGCATTTAAGTTTGTAAAGAGCCGCATGTGGCTCACGAGCCGCGGCTTGCCGACCACTGGGATAGAGCAATGGAGGGTTATAACCCCTTTCAGGTTTTTTTTTTTTTTTTGTTTGACATACTTCCCTGGGCGGCCCAGTGACATCAGTGGTCACTTTTCTACTTTTTTTTCATTTTGGATAGAGTAAGGGAGGGTTATAACCCCTATCAGATTTTTTTGCTATCTGTGTCCCATTCGTAAGATTTAGCTTCACTTCGTGGCCCATAGCCAGAAAAGGAAGTGAGAGGAAATCCCTGCATATATAGACTTGTTGCATGAAAGTTGCAAGCAAGTCAATGGGATTGCAGCAGTATGAACCGAGGATCTACAAATGGGCAGTCTAATTGAATGTAGATCTGGCCATAACTGTTTGTTGAATCATATCTATGCCATATGTATGGGCCAGAGTTCCAGGGAGCACATATGTCCACTTTGCCAGTGTGCTAAATTTCAGTTGTGTTTAGCTTACCTGCTGTCTGAGGACTTCACAATTTATTGAAACCCAATTTCAGGAACTACACTTGTAGCATACACTCTCATTTTATAACATCAGCATTGTAATAACAATACAAAAAATAGTTATTTTTTAGAATTCAATATAAGCCTACTAGAAAAATCTCCTTTCATGTTGTGAGTTCTGCCTGTCTGCTGGTCATCTCTTTCCACAACATCCTGGACTCTCTGCATGCTTTGCAGCTTCTCTTCTGCTGTTTGATTATAATTTCAAAGGACTACGTGTCCCATGGTACCTTGCTGCCTGCAGCAGTGATTCCTGTCCTGACTCCACCTCCTGAAACTCCTCCTCTCAGCTCCTCTGTAGTTCAGAAGGCAGGCTCTGTGAAATGTGAGACATAGCAGTACCTACTACAGGGCATAGTGATTATGTGTCCCATGGTACCTTGCTGCCTGCAGCAGCGATTCCTATACCGACTCCGCCTCCTGCCTGAAGGTCCTCCTCTCAGCACCTCTGCAGTTCAGAAGGCAGGCTCTGTGAAATGTGTGGCACAGCAGTGCCTACTACAGGGCATAGTGACTACATATCACAGAATTCAAGGAAGGAAATGTGTGGGGATCTTTACCAAGTAAATTTGCAAACTTCAAGATAAATGGTAGGCCAGAATTAGATGAAATATAATGTGGAAATATGTCATTTTATCTTTTTATTATAGATGCTTTAAAAGTTCTGCTTTTCAGAAAAAAAAATGAAAAGATGAGCTAACACTCTACACCCTCCCCACCCCCTGCTGTACCTATCCCCATGGGTGATGAGTTGTCAGTGCCCACAGATGGTGTACTGATCCAAGGATTTGAAATCCCCACTTTTGTCCCACTTATTTGTGTAGGGCTTTTGGGATGGGTCAGAGTGATTCTGATTGGTCAGCGCCAGCACAAAACGTATACTTTAAATGTGAGTTTTTGGGTTTAAATATGCTTGAAGGTTTATGTTCTTTTTCTCCACAGTTAACAAGTGATATTGAAGTTATTCATCAAGTCAAGGCCAGCGTGGACCACAAAGGCGGTAAAAATGAACTCTCTTTCAAGAGTGGTGATCAGATTGAAGTCATACGTGTCACAGATAACCCTGAAGGAAAATGGCTGGGTAGAATGAATGGAATCTGTGAGTACATATCAAATCATTCATTTACCATCAAAATGGATGTTACTTTTACTGTCAGCAGGAGCGAAAGGGGAAATGTTCTCTGGAACACTGGATAGCAAGAAAAACCAGACAGCAGTTCAATTATAATAAATCAAAACTCTATAATTTCCCACATGAAAAGTCAAACTTTCACCCTTGAAAGTGCACAATACAAAATACCTTTTCCATATTCTACAAACATATACACCCTATCCCACAGTCTCATACTGCTAATATAATGTCCATCATGAAGTCCCACATACAAAAAGTCCAAAAATTTAAATAATAAATACAAAAATAAAAATAAAAAAAAATAAAAAATATGCAAATAATAGTCCTCGCTCTCCAATATTCCAACTATGAAAATGTCCAAATCTTCCCTTCAATCCAAAGAGCACCTCAAAAAAAATACTAGATATAGTGCATTATCTTTTTATAAAAAATAAATATACGTGATATCATGCAACCACACTGGTGACATAAATAAAACATCACATATGTGAAGTGAAAAAACAACACACCACTTGACTAGTGGTCCTGTGAAACAACCACTAGTGAAAGGGATCCCTTTTGAAAAAGTCGGAAGTGACGAAACGCGTCAGTGTCGTGACGTCAGACGCTAGGCCGGGAGGAGTAGAGCGGCCATTTTGAGAAGGTCTCAGCACAGAACGGAGATCAGCGAGGATGGACGGTATTTTTACTATGTAAGCTGTGAAATAAATTCTGTATATCATTATATACTATTCCACTGAGTCTGCTCCCATTTGTCCTGTGAGGAACAGGGATCCCAATGCCCATTATTGTATGAGGAAGTGATTCCATTATCTACTCATATAAAGGAAAGCATACTCCCAGTGAAGGCAACTGTATGTGGTACAAAGGAATTCCAGTATGCTTTGAAAGTAAAAGAGGGTAATTGTATATTATCCTATATGCAGAGTGGCACCTATTTTGGCACAATTTTGTCACTGATCACAAATTGTGTATTTGTAGATTTTCACGCATTGCAGTGGTTGTTTCACAGGACCACTAGTCAAGTGGTGTGTTGTCTTTTCACTTCACATGTGTGATGTTTATTTATGTCACCAGTGTGGTTGCATGATATCACGTATATTTATTTTTATATAAAGATAATGCACTATATCTAGTATATTTTTTTTGAGGTGCTCTTTGGATTGAAGGGAAGATTTGGACATTTTCATAGTTGGAAGATTGGAGAGCGAGGACTATTATTTGCATATTTTTTATTTTTTTTTTATTTTTATTTTTGTATTTATTATTTTAATTTTTGGACTTTTTGTATGTGGGACTTCATGATGGACATTATATTAGCAGTATGAGACTGCGGGATAGGGTGTATATGTTTGTAGAATATGGAAAAGGTATTTTGTAGCAGTTCAATTATGTTCACACTCTTTACAAAACTTTTTAAAAAAGTTTTTGGCTTGACATACACTTTAAGGAGTCTATTTATTGAAAAAAAACACACTGTACAATTGTCTCATGCCTTTGCATAGCCATCACGAATAATCTCAGTAATTTGTCTAATATAATTATTTCCTATGATCGTCTGCTCCATCTAGTGGCCATAGTGCAGTATTTTCCTAATATTTCAGAAAAAGATCACATTGTTGCCACTAGTTGGATAAAGAGAAAACAGGTGGCGCACACACCTAGTGCATTATCTAAGGTTTATTGTGAGGAGTGAAAAAATAAAAACATACTCACAGACGAAGCATGTATCTAAAAAGCATAGAAAAATGACGATGGCCACAACGGCAGGCAAGGTGTTCTCACTGTCAGTGCGGTCAAATGGCTGACGGGTTTCGGGGACGAATCCCTTTCCTCAGAGCTAATGACCAGCCTCTGATGCAGATGTGTAATGAATGGAAAGTGGGAGCCTTGCTGGTGATGCCTCAACTAGTTGGAAATAAACGTATTAGTAAAAGTATTGCGATTATTTTTGTTATAGCTGTGCAATTGCTTGAGATATTCACACAATGATTTTTAGATCCGTAAGTGTTAGGTTTAAGGTCAGGGGTTTTGAGGGGGGGGGGGGGGGTTGGGGAATAAGTCTTTGATTAAATGAGGGGAAAAAGTTAATGTGTATACAAAGCCAAAATATATTTTTTTTCAATTTTAAATATCATATGGGAGGACTAGACCTTCTGTCAGGTTTTTATTGTCTGTGTCCCCACTGGGGAGATGTTCCCTCTTTATTTGTCCTGGTGACCATTATCACTGAGAGATAGGAATGAGTAATCCAAATTTTGGAGTTGTCAACAGAAACATAAATAGAAGAAAATTCTTCTAATGGGAACACGTATTCCTGTGAAAAATGTCTCAAAGTGGATTTAAGCTGTTTTTGAGAGATTGAGAAAATTAAGCTGATTCAGAGACTGCAAAAAAAATTGACAGGGTTTTAGATATGCTTTATAGGATAAGTTCACCTTTTAGAAAAAAATAATAAATGCACAATTTTTTGCAGGTAAAAAAATGTGCATTTCTTATTGTTGTCTGCAGGAGCCTGTAAACCATTGCACCAGCGATCAGCAGATCACAGGATGTACAAGCAAGCAGATATACTGACAGGAGGAAGCTGCACAGCGCTGTGGTAGTTCATTGAGGACTACAAGCTGACATCCGCTAAGACTGCTGGGACTTGTAGGCTCTCATTCACAAAGGATTCTGAATGAGTGATGCGGCCGTGTGGGCGGAGCCCCGCATAGCCACATTTCAAAAAAATTTGACAGCTAGTGAGAGGGGGAGATGATCCCCCGCTAGCTGTCAAAGTGGGGATCTAGGGGGCACGGGGGCCGGTTTGATCGTAACAAGTTACAAAAGGTGAACTTATTCTTTAAGGAGCATGTTTATAAAGCAATGGGGAGATTTACTAAAACTGGAGAGTGCAAAATCTGGCGCAGCTGTGCATGGTAGCCAATCCGTTTCTAACTTCAGATTGTTCAGTTAAAGTGTTACTAAACCCCGGACCCTGCATTTACTATATCTGGTCTCCCACAGTACACACAACATGGGAATGCAATTTCAGTAAATATAAACTGTTAAATACCTTTTCTCATCAGCAGTTAGAGCAGTCTTGTGACTTCAGCAGAGCACTGGTTAAAGCTTGTAGGAGGCGTTTTCTTTCTGCTCTAAGAGGATGCAGAACCCCTGACCTCTGTCTGGACAGTGCTGATTGGCCCTTTGTTGATCACATGCACTCTCCCAAGAACAAAAAGAAAACCTCTCTGGCAATACACACTAAACTGAGCATGTGCAGAAGGGTTCAGTCTGTCTTATCAGGTGGACATTTGAACAAGAGGAGGGGCAGAGAAAACAGGATCAAACAGTCTTTTTACACAATGCAGAGGATTAACCCCTTACATTGCACAGTGAGTATAACAAGCATGCTTTACTGCATATACAGACTGATTTTACTGTTGTGGGTTTAGTAACACTTTAAGCTTTGGAAATAAAACCTGGAAGCTGATTGGTTTATATGCAGAGCTGCACCAGATTTTGCACTCTCCGGTTTTAGTAAGGCTCCATGCACACTAACATTTTTTTAAGCACCTAGAAGCTATTATGAGCATTTTTTCCCTGCTCCTATACACTAATAGTGTTCTCCATGTTATGTGTCCATGCACACTATTCTATGCTAGAAGCGAGATCCAAGCTTCAGTGTTTATGAGCAGAAAAAAAATGTTTTTTTCTAGAGTTTTTGGGAGTGTTTTTTCTGGCGGAAAAAAAAGCTGAATGCTCCTAAATTCTCCTAAACACTTCTAAACACTAATAAAAAGCTCCTAACAGCTTTTTTTTCTTTATGTACTATAAAAACGCTAATTAAACGCTAATGGTCCTAAACGCTTCTAAAGGCTTCTAAATGCTTACTAAAACACTACTACAAGCTGGCACAAAAACACTATTATCAGCATTTTTCATCCAGCGTTTTCTCTAGCGTTTTTTGAGCTTATAAAAAATGTGTTCATGGAGCCTAAATCTCTCCCAATGCATCTGACATTCACCAAACATTTAGCATGTGAATAGACTGGTGCAAGACACACAGGATCGACCTGTAAGGCTCCAGTAGACTTCAACAAAATGGCAGCTGTCGACACACTGACATCAACTTCCTGTTGCATAAATATGAAAGAAATGGGTAAACGATGAATTCAGCTCCTGTTCTCCACCTGTACAGAACTCTGCAGATGTGTTTTGCCCTTTTTGGGGCTTAATTGTGGAGGCCCTCTATGATTAAGCCCCAAATAGGGCGAAACGCATCTGAGGAGTTCTGTACAGGTGGAAAGCTGAAGCCATCTTTTACTCATTTCCTTCATATTTGTACAACAGGGAAATGGTGTCTGTGTACAGATGGACGCCATTTTGTTGATTTCCAGGTGCATCTGTTTTAGAGAATATTTGGTAAGTCACTGTCCCTGAAATATAAATAAACCCCTAAGTGTTAGAGCGAATGGATTGTCTTTTGAATGGTTAAGAAAAACAGAAAAAAGTTTTTTCTATTTTAAGTTGCAATAATAAATATACAAGCAAGTAGCCATATTTGCTCATTACATATAGTAAAAAGTGCTAGATGATGGTTGTGCTTTACCACTCCTTATCACCATACAAGCAGACTTATTAACAAGAAAAGAGATTGCAATAGGCCACTAAGCTCCTCTTAGTGCCTGATCTATACATCTCAAAATATAAACTAAAATCTCCCAAAAACTTTCTTTGTCTATTTTGTTTTCCACTCAAGTCTTTACCTAATTGACTCTGTCTTGGCAGTGCTGGACCTTGTCGAGAAAAGAGGGAAAAGGCACACAGTGTTCTTGTGAATGCAGATTGAGGAGCTCCAGTATAGCTGTTCTAAGCTGAGAAAATTGATCTTAGTTTTGTAATTCCTGAGGTGGGTTCAGGAATTTGGAGGCTTCAAAGAGTGTTGGGAGGGAGGACTCCTTTAATCCCATGTCCAGGTTTTATCAGACAAATTACACAATTCCAATGCACACGTTCCTGCAACAAAGAGTGGCTATATGTGTAGGTGGGTGCTGCAGTGACCATCGGCTGGAACCAAGAAGCATCACAAGGGAAGATTGTCAACAGCACACTGAGGTTCTCCGGTATGGGTCCGAAGCTCTAATAAGTAATCACATAGTTACAGCAAGAATGTTTCGGAGTCTCGCTGGACCCCTTCATCAGGTATGTGACCATTACAGCAAGAACAACATTTCGGAGTCTTGAAGGACTCCTTCATCAGACATATGACCAATGTCAGATGCTTGATGGAGGGGTCCTGCGAGACTCCGAAATGTTGTTCTTGCTGTGACTATGTGATTGCTTATTAAAGCTTCGGAGCCATATTGGAGAACCTCGGTGTGCTGGTGGCATTCTTCCATTGTCAGGCTGTGTGTGCAGGTGTGCACTGCAGAAAAACTCTGTAAATTTCAGCACTGAAGAGGAAGATGACCACAGATTATGTATGATATACAATGGATCATGAACTTGGCCAGGAATGTGTAGTAGATACTGCCCACCTCAACCGGGGAAGTCTACATAAAGAACAAACAGGAGGGCACAAATGCCTAGTGCATTACCAATGATATATTGTTCACAAAACATATATGCCAAATGGATACTCACAGAAGTGGAATTTAATATTGCAAAAAAAACACAAGATGCCACTGCAAGGGGAATCACATATGTCCATGCAACCCAGCTGGACTGACCATCTGATGCATTTTGGAGGCATAACTCCTTCCCAGGGGTGAACTGACAACTCATGGGGCCCCCGGGCAATAGGGGATCCTGGGGCCCCTGTGTCCTTGCCCAAACTCAAAAAAGCCTATGAAAAAGGTACCAGGGGCATCTCATGGGACCCCCTACTGACCCCGGGCCCTCGGGCAGTGCCCAAGTTTCCAAATGGTCAGTCCGCACCTGCTCCTTCCTCCTGATATGCTAACCCCTTGGAGGGTCAGGCCTCCCTCTTTCCCCCTGCAGCCCACTGGGACACATCACAGGTCCCAGAAGACTGTGGCCCATTCACAATTTGAGTGCACTTCACGTATGCGCAGTATGGGACCAGAGGTGAAGCCACAAGGCCTCACTACTGGTTTCCTTTAGTCAAGCCAGAAGCTGATTGAAGAATCAGCTCTTTTTAGGACACCGCTGGATCCCTGGACAGTTAAGTGCCCTAATATCTCTTAGACTGCAAGCTCCAAGGAGCAGGACTCTCCTAACCCTCTTGTATTGAACTGTATTGTTGCTTAGCTGCTGACGTTTCTTTTTTGGGAGAGGCAGAACTCCACTTTTATGTAATTTTTTTTCGTGTTTCAAGTGATGAAACCCCTGCAAGGGGAACTGTATTTGAACTTTTAGTTTATTTTGTAAATAAGAATGGGCCAACAAGCCCTGATCAGTATTTCCTGGCTACAGTGAACTCATTGGGAAGCACCACACCTTGAGCAAAACCCCAGAATATCACACTAGTTTATGCCAATTGCCTTCTTTTTATTTCTTTATATTTTTATTTTCTACCTTGACTATTATTATAACTTCCCTGAAGTAACACATAATTTCAAAGTCCCCAATTCCAAGCAGCCAATCAAATGTCATATTTTTATAGTGGTGTTCACAAGCTTTTTGCCTATTGATTGCTGTGTTTGCTACTGTTTGCATATCACCCTAATCAGTAAACCAGTGTGTTATTGAAAAATAATGTACATGATAATTGGAAGACTAAAGGAAGGGGAAGGAGTTCTTTGGTGAACTTGAGATGGACCTCGGCTTCTGTAATATTACAGAATTATACTAGAGAGAAGATTGAACATCATTATTGCCACATACTGCTGAAAAAGTAATGGCACATATAGTGATTTTGCCTTTTTTGACATTGTTTATGTTCTTAGATGGTTACATCAAAACGACAATGGTGAATGTTGACTATGACTCACTAAGGAGAAGAAAAACAGTAACTATGACCATTCCCATAAAACCAGATCCAGACCAGGAAATTTATGACGATGTTGGAGAAGATGAGGCCATCAACAAGTAAGAACCACAATTCGATCCTCTAACCATACCCAAAACTCTTCTCTGTTGTTTCAATGGAAATTTAGTGCTGCTGGAGTCTGAGGTGTCTTGGATCTAAATAATGTTCTTCACCATGTTTTCTCTTCTGTGATGTTTTGGCATGAAGTAGAACACTAGGAAAATCCAAGGATACCAGATATATTACTCACATATACCTTCTACATGCAGACATCCTCCAGGTGCACATTTAGGTTTACTAACCTCATCTCATGGTTAAAGAAACGTGGCCTTGGGAGAAACTCATATATATACCAAGACACCAAATTGATGGGACTTTAAAAAAGTTTAATTTTTTTTTAATAAAACACCAAAAACATGGCTGAACACAGTACATTCCTGGGTATTAACTCATACGTATCTCAAAGCATTGCTCTACTATCAGTTTATAGAGAATCATTTTATGGTAAATATGCTCAACCAGACAATAAAAAACGTTTAGAGCTGTTATTCACTGAGTGACAAATACTTCTCAACGCATTTCACGAACCAACGTCTACTTCCTCAGAAGAAGTAGAGGTGTTCTATATCTACTGTACATGTACATTCAGTGTTTACAAACCAGCCAGCATAAATTACAAAAATGGCATCCAAACAAAAGCATGTCTTACCCAGGGACTTCCAAGCTACTGGAGAGGTTTGGTGTTGGTTTGTATATTGTTTCTGTTTCTTGTGTCGGGTTGGTCTTCCCCAAGGGGACATATACACTATATACCTATATTTCCCCCTGATGGAACATAAGCATCATCACCAGCAGGGTACAAATTACATCAAATGGAAGAAACCCTTCAGCAATATTCCCTCCTGCGCTTCAGCTCTAAAAGCAGTCTTTTCCTATTCTGGTTCCACGCACTTCTCTCTCTCTCTCTCTCTCTCTCTCTCTCTCTATATATATATATATATATATATATATATATATACAGTGTTTGTATTTGTGTATATGAATGTGTGTATATATATATATATATATATATATATATATACACACATGACTTTTTCTCAGTCGGAACATGGGGGAAAGCAATTCCAGAACCTCCAGTACTGGAAGTATGTAATAGAAAGGAGTGCAGGGTGTGCTGAAGAGTCATTGATGTTGGCTGCTGGGGGATCTATTGCTGATGGGGGGAGAATCTCTTGATGAGGGAAAGGTCTATTGTTTCTGAAGGGTCAATTGTTGCTGGAAGTGATCTACTGTTGAGGGAGGGGTCTGTTATTGCTGGTTGCTGAGAGATCTATTGTTGCTGGCAGCAGGGGATGTTTTTTACTGCTTTTTATGTTTTCTTTAGTAAATTCCATACAAATTACTTAAAGCCACAAAATGATACTTGTTTCTGTATTCACTAAAAGGAGTGGTACTGGTAGGTGGGTAGCCATTGGAACCAAAGGATGCTGCTCCTAGGTGGCTAGGGGACATAGACAATGGGTGACTCAGAAGGGGAGAGTTCTTGCACCTATTCTCTGGGAATTTTGCAATTCCCTATATACTCACCGACCACTTTATTAGGTACACCTTGCTAGTGCCAAGAAAATATCCCCCACACCATTACACCACCATTAGCAGCTTGAACCATTGTTACAAGGCAGGATGGATCCATGCTTTCATGTTGTTTACGCCAAATTCTAACCCTACCATCTGAATGTCACAGCAACCAGTCTGCCCATTTTCCTTTGACCTCTGACATCAACAAGGCATTTTCATCCACACAACTGCCGCTCACTGGATATTTTCTCTTTTGTAGACCATTCTCTGTAAACCCTAGAGATGGTTGCTCGTGAAAAGCCCAGTACGTCAGCCGATCTGGCACCAACAACCATGCCATGTTCAAAGTCACCTAAACCCCCTTTCATCCCCATTCTAATGCTTGGTTTGAACTTCAGCAGTTGGTCAGTGAGTGTATATTAATATATAAATATATATTTTTTTTAATATACTGTATATATAGATATAGATATAAACTATAATTCCCAGACACTAGGTTCATCACTTAAAACACAACTGCCACAAATAGGGTGACTTGTTGGGCTTTGACTTTTGACCTTGTTGGTGTGATACTAAAGGTAGCGATACTTAGTTAGATTTCTTGGACCTGAACTAGAGAAATCAGTCACTTCCCCCATTCATACTTAACAGTATGGATTAAAAAATCTATGCTGCTGGCTAGTGTATTCAGACAGCCGCAATACCTGCCTGAACACCTGAACAGTTTAGCCAACAATTTTCCTTCCAATTGTCCTCTGTTGTTTTAATTGAAATTTTTGAAGTCAGTTGGTGCTGACAGGGTCACCCACAGCTAAAATTTCTCCTGATTTTGCCGTAAACATCTAAGATTTATATGGCAAGGTTAAGGCTAACTAGGCAATCAGGGTAGGAGGGTGGTGGCAAAAAAAAAAAACTTTGAAAGCTTGAAAATAAAGCCACATACACTATATTGCCAAAAGTATTGGGACACCCCTCCAAATAATTGGATTCAGGTATTCCAATCCCCTCCATGGCCACAGGTGTATACAAAACAAGCACCTAGGCATGCAGGCTGCTTCTACAAACATTTGCGAAAGAATGGGTCGCTCTCAGGAGCTCAGTGAGAGCCGTGATAGGTTGCCACTAGGGCAATAAGTCCATCCATGAAATTTCCTTGCTAATAAATATTCCACGCTCAACTGTTAGTGGTATTATAACAAAGTGGAAGCCACTGGGAACAACAGCAACTCAGCCACGAAATGGTAGGCCATGTAAAATGACAGAGCAGGGTCAGCACATGCTGAAGCGCACAGAAGTCGCCAACTGTTTACAAAGTCAATAGCTGAAGACTAACAAACTTCATGTGGCCTTCAGATTAGCACAACAACAGTGTGTAGAGAGCTTCATGGAATGGGTTCCATGGCCGAGCTGCTGCATCCAAAGCTTATAACACCAAGTGCAATGTGTCGAATGCAGTGGTGTAAAGCACGCTGCGACTGGACTCTAGAACAGTGGAGACATGTTCTCTGGAGTGACAAATCATGATTCTCTGTCTGGCAATCTGATGATGTTGAGTTGGCGGTTGCCAGGAGAACATTACTTGCCTGACTGCATTGTGCCAAGTGTAAAGTTTGGTGGAGGGGGGTTATGGTGTGGGGTTGTTTTTTATGGGTTGGGCTTGGCCCCTGAGTTCCAGTGAATGGAACTCTTAAGGCATCAGCATAAAAGACATTTGGGACAATTTCATTCTTCCAACTTTGTGGGAAGAGTTTGGGGATGGCCCCTTCCTGTTCCAACATGACTGCACACCAGTGCACAAAGCAAGGTCCATAAAGACATGGATGAGCGAGTCTGGGGTGGAAGAACTTGACTGGCTTGCAAGGAGTCCTGACCTCAACCCCATAGAATACCTTTGGGATGAATTAGAGCGGAGACTGTGAGCCAGGCCTTCTCATCCAACATCAGCGCCTGACCTCACAAATCTGCTTCTGGAAGAATGGTCAAACAATCCCATAGACACCCTCCTAAATCTTGTGGACGGCCTTCCCAGAAGAGTTGAAGCTGTTATAGCTGCAAAGGGTGGGGCCAACTCAATATTGAACCCTACGGACTAAGACTGGGATGCCAATAAAGTTCATGTGCGTGTAAAGGCAGGCCGACCAATACTTTTGGCAATATAGTGTAAGTGTCTGCATATTATGTACAAGTCTACAAATCCATCCAGCACACTCATAGCACTGAATGTGGCTAATGTTTGAATATGGTGTATGCTTAAGAATAGTAATACAGCTTAACATTATTTTCTTTCTTAATTCACAGCTCTGGCGGGAACTCGTGTAAGTATCATATGGTTGTATGAAAAGGCTAATCGATCATACCGCTTATTACACAACTTCAGGTATACAACTATAACATAAATGGTAGAATGCAAACTGACAGACTATTACAGCTACACAGCATACAGTTCCAATATTAGGGTGCATCTATATGGGTGCAGGAAAGGGGCACAGGGGGGTTTTGACACCTACCAAATGGCCTCCAAACATGGAGCTCAGTATTCATGTCTGCATCTGGTGGGACTGGCTTTGCAATACACTGAGCGGAGTCATTCCAAGACATAAAGGTACAGTACAGTATATGCTTCTCCTGCCATGGTGTTTGTAGTGGGTAACACTACTGGATACTTTTCTCTATCTGTACAAGCACTAAATCACAATACATTTAACATCTCTTTCATTCATGATTTCATGTGGTGTGGTCACCTTTATTCTAATTATTTTAATGAAACATGTCATGACAGACATATTAGGGCCACCACTGATAATCTCCTTCTTCAGATTTTCCTTGTATGGGTCAAATTACATTCTAGAAGCACCCTAAGTGTCAGCCAGCAGTATTAAACCCAAAATTCAAAAATCAATTATATTGATTATATTGCAGCTTACTAAACCCTTAATGTGATGACTGTGTTATCACTTGGTGATCTGGCCAGTAAGTCTGTTGTTTTCCAATTTTCTTTACCAGACCAAACCATCCAGAAAAAGTGGCAGTTAGAGGGTTGGGCCTAGTCATTTAACACTCGCAGGGGTGCTTACAATGGTCAACCTTTTATTCCAAAAGAAAAAAAATAAGCTGTCGCTGTAACTGCTTAAAAAAGTTTTAGCTGTAATTCAGCATTAATTTGTTAGTCAAGTCCGTCCAAATTCTGTAGTGCATGTAAAACTACCCTCTCCCTAGGCTGATAATGCTGCTGTCCAAAAGTGTCTCCGAAGCTCCTCCATCCAGAGTGGAGACCCCCTAAGAAAGTATGTGTGTTACTGTAGGGATCATCAGGTGAAAATAAAGGAGGAAGAAAACCAATGCAGCCATTACATCTAAGAGCTGGAAATCTGCAATATATTACATTTTTGTACAGTATACGAGCTTTGGAAGACCAAACGTAGTGGCAAGGCATGGATGGTCGGATCACCCTAAAATCCTATGACAGCTATTTCCCTATGAAAACTTTGGTAGGTAGCCTGGGAAGACCCGCAGAGATTAGCCAGATTGACAGTTAGAGGCTGCAAATAGATCTAAAAACCTATTTCAGAGAGTCACAGATAAAGATTTTCTGGATAATAAAAGGAATAACATCTTGTAGTGTCTACTTCAATGCAAGGATTTTACTGTACATTTACCCTTGGTGCACACTTATGCGGTTTTCAGTGCATTTTCCAGTTCGCAGAAATGCACTACAGTCCATTTAACGTGATTTCCTATTGATCTAGTTCACATCTGTGTGTTTTGAGCCGGCATGTTTTTTGGAAAGTGCCAGGGATTTGGATGAGACTCTGTTTGGGTGCAACTTTGATGCGACTTTGGATGGGTGCAACTTTGATGCAACTTTACATTCTCTAGCACTCAAGTAGCATCAAAGTCACATCAAAGTAGTGCAGGAAACTTTTTGTGTCTAAAGTAACATGTTAGGGTTAAATGTTAGGGTTAGGGTTAAATGTTAGGGTTAGGGTTAAACCTAAACCTAGCCCTTAAACCAGGGGTGTCCAAACTTTTTTCAAAGAGGGCCAGATTGGATGAAGTGAACATGGTGGAGGGCCGAACATTTTTCCGAACATTCTTTGAACCATTACAATTAAATTCAAATAAATTATTTTATGCCAAGTTAATTGCAAACGACATACTTTTCATTTCATAACATTAAGATCAACTGACAGCTGAGTTTTCACAATGTATTGAAAATAAATTTAAAAAAAAACTTCCCTGCACTAATGTGAAGGGTGAAAAAGGGTGAAAAAGGTAGCTGGAGCTGAAGTCTCTGCTCGGCAGCCGGGAGGGGAAGAGAAACACACTTCACGCTGGAAGCCCGGCCCTGACGTCACCGCCCTCTGTCGCTCCCAGCGCGGCGCAGTCACGCATGCGCACTGCTCTCAAGCAGAAGACTGTCTGCCACACAAAGGGAGGGCCGTGCGACAACCGCATTTACACAGACCAGGGAGAACGCGCCGCAGTCAGGCATGCGCACTGCCCTCTGCTCTCAAGCAGAAGACTGTCTGCCATAGAAGGGAGGGCCGTGGGAGGGCCACATTACACAGAGCAGGGAGGGCTGTTGGAGGGCCGTATTAAACTGACCCCCGGGCCGTAAATGGCCCGCGGGCCGGACTTTGGACATGCCTGCCTTAAACCTAACCCTAACATGTGACTTTGGACACATAATGGTTCCCGTACTACTTTGATGCTACTTGAGTGCCAGAGAGTTTAAAGTCGCATCAAAGTTGCACCCATCCTCCAACATTGCATCAAAGTAGCACCCATCCAAAGTCTCATCAAAGTCAATACTTTCCTATTGGCAAAAAAAAACCATCAAAAACACAAAATACACCACACAAAACGCAGTGTGAAACTGCACATTCTTCAATCTGCATAGATGTGAACCTCGTCTTTTAATAACAGACAGGTTTGCTTGATGAAAATAGCGCTGATTTAATGCTGGACATTTTGTTTGCCTAGTCTTCCCACCTCCGCCAAGTGATGATGACATTTATGATGGAGTTGATGACGACCCCCCTGACAGGTATGTGTATATTATTAAAAAAATACTAAATTTCCTACTATCACTTTGTGAATTCCAGTAGTTCAGCACAGGATAGTTTTTTCTATTATTTGCTGCTGTTGCAACTAGTGAGACGTACTATGAAAAAAACAAACTCACCATAATATGTCCCATGTTCATCTTTATCTAATAAATACCGACTTCTCATATTTCTCGGAGACTTTAACCAAAAGATTTCTTGTATTCCTCCGCTCTGCTCAAAGTGCCAAGGGATTGTTACTTCTCTGGCTGTATTCTGTGTAACATTAAAGGCAAATTCCAGGCAAATGCTAAATACACCATTCATTTGAGCTCTTTTACCTTCTAAATCATAGGTGTCAAACTGGCAGCCCTCCAGCTGTTGCTAAACTACAAGTCCCATGAGGCATTGCAAGATGGGCAGTTACAAGCATGACTCCCAAAGGCAGAGGCATGATGGGACTTGTAGTTTGGTAACAGAGGGTTGCCAGTTTGACACCCCTGTTCTAAATGATTTGTACTTCAGTCCATCTAGTCCCGACCTTTATGCAATTTGATAAGGTAGCACAGCCAGCCTTGTGACCTGCATTTCTCTCTACTGCATTTTAAAAAATACAGCTTGGTCACCTAGGAGACAGCCCTGTCCCCAGCCTTCCAGGACAAGGAAGGTGACTGACAGCCTCAGCTGTGCATGTTTCCTTGTAAAACTGTGTAACGGGGTATGTATATTCTCTCCACTCAGGTCTCAGATTACACTGAGCTCTGTGCTCTGTACTGTGCAATATGAGATGCCAGATTCCCTCTCCCTGCCTGCTGGTGCTGAGAAACAGCCTTTGATCGGTGTAGTTTGAATGGCTATAGAGATGAGAAGGCTGTGGATAGACAAGTACATCTTATGTTCAGGGATTTCTTTCAGCTTTCTGTATCATCTTAGGCTCACTTAGGTCACTTCAGAGGGTATATGTAAGGGTTTACAACCACACAGTACAGTTAGATCACCCCTGTCTCCAGTCTGTGGTTAAACAGTAATAGAGCTGCAGTACACCAAATGAGCTTCACCTTCTGCTCACTCTGCTCTTTCCTTCACTCAGCATGTTCCTTATCAGCACATGTGTATGCTGCACACCTGATTGGCCCCTACTCTTCCCCCATATCTCTTGGCCTGAGTTCTACTGTAAGCAAGATCACAGAAGGCTGATACCAAATTTAATTCAAATACTTACACAAGTCAAAACTTGATGTACACTCATTTATTTTTGTAATGAATGCACAACTACACTGATCTTTTTTTACATCTGCCTGGACTTCAACTTTGAATATACGAGGATTCTTCAAAAAATTTTTCAAGAACCTTTTTTGAGTACCTCTTGTATGATTAATTCAGCCAGAAAAGAGTGAAACTCCTTGTATTAGGGCAGGTAAGCAGAGCCCATAGGCCTGGCCATCCACATCCCCATGAGATCTGAGAAGTAGGAAGTGATTCTATGCCTTTAGGAAATGACTCTGTCAGTTGGTGTTCTGATGTTGCTATGTCCCTTGAAATATGAATGTCTGAACTGAACGGTGTACTCTACACACTGCAAAGCTCTGTACCACAGGAGGAAGAGAAAAGCGGCGCGTGGTCCTGGTTTAAGAAGCGGAAGGGGACCCAACAAAAACAGAAACATGTCTCCGAGAAAACAGAGCCTGAAGACAGTGAAGAAAACGAGTTTGCTTTGTAAGACGATAAAGCCTTAAAAATGGCGGCACCTCTGCTTACAGCAATCAGGCTGTACTAATTCATTGACATAACTGTGCTACTGTTCCCAATCAATAGGTTCCTATCTGCCATTAATCATTCGCTTCTCTGTCAAAGATTAACCAAATTCACCTGATCTGTGTTTGATTCACTGTTAAACTGTAATCTAACAAAGTGACCCAATGCTGTTACAACTAAGGGAATTTTCAGTATGGAGGAAGCTACATTCCAATATGAAAAAAAAAACATTTGAAAGTGGGGCAAGGGTATAAATAAATTAGAATATCATCAAAAAGTTAATTTATTTCAGTAGTTCAAATCAAAAAGTGAAACACATATATTATATAGATTCATTACATACAGAGTGATAGATTTCAAACATTTCTTTATTTTAATTTTGATGTTTATGGCTTACAGCTATTGAAAACCCAAAATTCAGTATCTCAAAAAATTATTATATTACATAAGACCAATAAAAAAAGGATTTTTAATACAGAAATGTTGGCTTACTGAAAAGTATGTCCATGTACAG